TGCATTTGAAGAGCTGAAGTCTTATCTTAGCTCACCACCTCTGTTGACTAAGGCTGTAGATGGAGAGATTCTTTACTTGTACCTGGGGATTTCAGATGAGGCCATTAGTTCCGTTCTGGTGAGAGAGGAAGCCAAGCAACAGAAACCAATCTATTATATCAGCAGCGTGCTGCACGGAGCAGAGCTGAGGTATCCTATAGCTGAGAGAGCAGCTTTAGCAGTTGTCACTTCGGCCAGGAAGTTGAGGTCGTATTTCCAGTCACACCTAATTATCGTTCTTACAGATCAACCTCTCAGGCAAATTCTGTAGAAACCAGAATGCTCTGGAAGATTAATTAAGTGGGCAGTAGAACTGGGGGAGTTTGAGATCACGTTTCAGCAGAGATCGACCATCCGAGCTCAAGCACTAGCAGATTTCATTGTCGAATGCACTCCATGTCCCTCCACCTCTACTCCAGAACTCAACGAATGAACCTTATATGTTGATGGAGCCTCTAGTAGCAAGGGTTCGGGGGTTGGCGCTCTCTTGATCGGTCCAGAGGGATACCGAAGCGAACATGCCCTAAAGTTCAACTTTGATGCAACAAATAATATGGCTGAGTATGAAGCCCTGCTACTTGGCCTACAACTAGCATTAGAGTTGAAAATCAGTGCAATTCAAGTGTACAGTGACTCCCAGCTGGTGGTGAATCAAATCAACTCTATTTGCGAAGTCGTTGACCCTGTGATGGCGAAGTATGTAGCCTTAGTGACCGAGCTGAAGTGCAAATTCCAGAAATTCTGTCTGAGTAAAATCCCCCGAGCCGAGAATGAACAGGCAGATTCACTCTCTAAGTTTGCCTCTGATAGCTCTTTAAGCTCCAGATCTGTTTTTGTAGAGGTCTTAGATGAACCAAGCTTCACGAAGCCTCGGGTGATGGAGATTAGCACAAACCCTGACACGCCGAGCTGGACTGATTCAATTGTCTCCTTTTTACGAGATGGGATAGTACCTGAGTACAGGCAGGAGGCAATGAAATTGAGGAAGAAAGCATCTCGGTATACACTTGTTGATGGAGTCCTGTATAAGAGATCTTTCTCACTTCCTCTTCTACGGTGTTTAAACCCCTATGAAGCTGAATACGCACTTCGAGAGGTGCATGAGGGTGTCTATGGGAGCCATGTCGGTGCTAGGACTCTCGCTCACAAAGTCTTACGACAAGGATACTACTGGCCAAACATGTACAAAGATGCCACTTACTTTGTTCAGAAATGCCCGAAATGTCAATTCTTCGCACATCTGACTCACCAACCAGCAGAAGAGCTCACGAACTTGGTAGCACCGCGGCCATTTGCTCAGTGGGGACTAGATCTTTTAGGCCCATTTATGAAAGGGGTTGGTGGTGTAACCCATCTGGTTGTTGGTGTGGATTATTTTACAAAGTGGGTTGAAACTCGGCCTTTATCTAGTCTTACCTCTAAGAAGGTCGAAGATTTTGTTTTCAGCTCTATCATCTGCAGATATGGGATCCCGAATCAGATTGTGGCTGATAATGGAACTCAATTCAATTGCTCCTCGTTTCGAGATTTCTGCTCCAATTATGGGATCAAGTTACAGTTCACCTTCGTTTATCATCCGGAGTCCAATGGCATGATTGAATCTGTTAACAAATGCATCCTGGAAGGTATAAGGCCAAGATTGGAGTAGCATAAGGCCAAGTGGGCAGACGAGCTCAACAACGTCCTTTGGGCATATAGAACCACGAGCCGAACTGCCACAGGTACTACACTAAACCGAGTATATTTGGTCAATTTCTATATTATTTTACTTCTTCTGTTACGCCTTACCTTAGAAGCAAATATGCATAACGCGTAAAGCGCATTCTAAAGTTATAATTAATTGAAATAGGTGAAACACCCTACCACTTGGCCTTTGGTACCGAAGCAGTCATTCCTGTTGAGATAGGAGTCCCAAGCTTCCGGGTCACCCATTTCGATGAAGAACGAAATGGACAACTGCTTCGGGAAAACCTTGATCTGCTTGCCGAAGTCAGAGAAGAAGCTCGGCTTCGAACTCTTGTATACAAGCAGAAGCTAGCCAACTTTTACAACAAACGGGTCCACCCTCGAACTTTCAAAGTAGGAGACCTTGTTCTCAGAAAAGCTGGCCTAACGGGGTTTGAAACTCGTTTTGGCAAACTTGCCCCAAATTGGGAAGGCCCTTATACCGTGGCCGAGGCGCCACATCCTGGAGCCTATGTCCTCCAAGATGCTGAAGGAAAAAGGGTTCCTAGAGTCTGGAATGTCAATAACTTGAAGAAATTTTACCCCTAATGAAATTCTTCCAAACAATCTATGTCTTACTGTTCTTTATGTATCTGAGATCAATCAGTTTATTCACTTCAGTTAATAAATGTCACTTCATATTTGAAGTACTTTATCTCCTTTTAATTCGTTCGCAATGATATACTTGTTCCTAATTCATATGAAGTGGCTTACTTCTTCTTAATTCGTCTGAAGTGAATTACTTTCCTTTGGTTAATCTCTGAAGTGGCTTACTTCTTCTTAACTCGTCTGAAGTGAATTACTTCTTCTTAATTCGTCTCAAGTACTCTAAGTTCTTTTATTCATAAAAAATAACAAAAATTATAAAACAAACATAAACACATCTAATTTCAAAACTGAATTTTCATTTAACATTATAACAACATTACAAAATGTTTAACTGTCTTTACAAAAAATCAAAAATCAAAATTAGTTCTCTGCTGGAGGAGGTGGCTCCACTGGCTCCTCTTCAGCTGGAAGAGGTGGCTGTCTTGGCTGCTGCTCGTCTGGCAGAGGAGGCTCCTCATCGTCAGAAGGAACTGGATGAATCTCCACCTCTGGAATTGGTTGACTCTCATCCACTCCAGCTCCTTCTACTCCTGCCTCCACCTCGTCTTCCTCTACCTTTGCCCCTTCCTCCTCCACTGCCATGAACTCGAAGTCGAATTGTGGAGGGAAAACAGCACGTCCATTTGCATCATCCTCCCACCTCAGTTTGATCTGAGGACGGAAGTCTGCTGACATGCTCTCACCATCTTCCTCCACTCCTTCTTCTTGCTCTCCGAAGGTGATCTTCGTAATATCCACTTCAGGATATTCTGCCTTCACCTTCTTCCTGCAGTCCGTGAATGCGATGATGGCAGTAGGCAGTCGGTATAAGTTGACGATGTTGTCAAACGAGCTGGAGCTGATGAAGTTGCCGATGTGCTCCTTCATCCCATTGTGCACCAAGGTCTGCACATTTCCCTTCAGCTCCAAGAAAGCCTCCTTCGTCAGCTTTAATTCTTGTGCCAAAGCCTCACGCTCGCTTTCAGAGATCTTTCGTTTCGTCTCTTCAAAGCCGAGCTTGGTGCCCAGGGAAACCTTCTCCTGTTCCAACTGCTTCACAGTTGGAACCACCTCGTTCAGAGACTCTTGCAGCTTTTTATTTTTCTTCTCCAGCTCCTCCTTCTCCTTCTGCAGTTGGTCATACTGCCTCTGCAAGAGTGCGCGGTCCTTCAGGCTCTCCTTGAATTCTTGGGCTAGACCATTCACCCAGCTCGCGCTCTGCAAATCAAAACCGAGGTTAAGAGAGAGAAGAGAAGATGACACAGACTAACTACACAATCCCACTACTTTAACATACCTCTAGAACGTGCCTCACCACGGACGCTCCACCATACCTCAGAGCTTCCTCCCGTGCGAAGCTTTGGTCCGCTTCGGGGAAGGTGTTGTTGATGAACCACCTAGCCCCCGTCATGTTATTCGCCTCGAACAGGCTGCTCTGAGGCCCCAGTGGGGGAATAGGTCCCTTTCCCTTGCCAGGAGCTCGTACCTCAGCCCCCTCCTCCAACCGTCTGAGCTCAGGGTTCAGCTCAACAGGAGGAGGCTGAGGTACGAACTCAGGTACCTCATTCCCCCTCCCCTCCTCCACCACCTTCTGCTTCTTCTCCGCTGCCCTCCTCTCCTCCCAACCCTTCCTCTTCAACGGTGGCACCTCGTCCTCCGTCTCAACTGAAGCCAGGGGCACCACCTCCTTCCCAGCTCTCCCCTCATCCACTTGCTTAGTTAAAGTCCTTGACTTCTTCCTTGGCTTCTTGGGGATGGCCTTCCCTCCAACAGTATTCAAAAATTGATTCATGTCAGCTGCAAAGCAAAAAACACAATATTAGTCACAACTCTATGTTCTACATTTAACGCTACAGTATATGTCAAACAAACCTTCACTCAGAGCGCTTGGCCCATAGAGCTCAGCAGCCTCTATGCATGCTGCGCTGGTGAGGTCCATGATGTTCAACACATCTCCCCCCTCCCTCACCAACTTTCCCACTTCTTCCTCCTCATCCTCATTCAAGCTAAACTTATTCTGGTTGGCCCTTTTGGCCTTCCAGGAGGCTAACGCCCTCACCTCGGCATCCCATTTCCCCCACTCCGTGTCATCCCCTTTCCCCCACTCCGTGTCATCCACAAAAAAGAATTTCTCCTTCCATCCCTTAATGGATGAAGGACCCGCAGTGAATAAAGTCCTATTCTCCTTCTTAGCTACCCTAGGGGTGAAATAATACCACCCCTTATCCCTCCTACTTCCTCCCTTCAAAACAAAAAAATATTTAAACATATTTACAGTTGGCACGCTAATCCCTTGAGCTCGGCAATAAACTAAAAAAACTATTATTACCCTCATTGCATTGGGGACCAACTATGTCAACCCTATATTGTAATCTAACAATAAACCTATTAGCAACTCAGGAAGTGGAAACCTGAGTCCCGCAAACAAATAGTGGGAATACACAGGCATCCAGTGATCCCGAGGAGCAGAGCACGCCCTCTCCTCTACCCCAGCTGGCCTAACTAACACTCGAGAAGAGATCTCGTACGTTTCTACTAAGTGACACAGGTCATCCCTGGTCCTTAGTTCAGATCGGTACTGCTTCACTTCCTCCACTATCTCTGCATTTCTATCATAACCTCTCTCCCCATTACCTTCTACTTCTACTACGGTGATGGGTATGCTATCTACCCCAACCCCCATCACCTCATTCCTCCCAACCTCTGCCACCTCACCCCCCCAACCTCCACCACCTCATCTCCTCTCACCCCCTCCACTGTTTCCTCCGAACTAGTTGGAGATGGACTACTCTCTGTGTCCATCCTCCCATAGTCCAG